CTCCAGTTGAATATTACGCCTTATAAACACGGGTGGAAGTGGCACAGGCAAATGCAACTTTATGAAAACCAACGAATCTGGTGGCCGGAACGATAAAAAGCAAGGTATCTGAAAAAATAATGTTGTTAGCAACAAATAATTGTTTAATATAAATTATTTTACCTAAAATTGATGAAGAACGCGATAAAAACTGCACACAAGCAAAATCGACGCGAAAAATTGAAATGTCAAGAGTTGTCAAAAGCCTACAGCGCGCTGTCAAATAGAGATTTCGGCTAATCGACACTTTAAAGCGCTTCAAGCAAGTGAAGTAAAGCTGCCACTAGGCCAACTTTCATACATTTTAGTAGATTTTAAAAATTGTTTGACAGTTCTCAAAGCCAAGCAAGCAAAGCAAGCGTGCATTGGGCCAATACCTTTAGTCGATAACTGCTGCAGATAATTCTCAGAGAGAGTATAGAAGAAACCATGGCTTGGAAATGAGTTTCGAGCCAGCGCATTTTTAAATGAAACAAGTAAGAAAGTCTAATATTACATTTACATTGAGCCCAAATGCGTCATTTGGGCGAGAAACCTCAAATGCGAGGCCAAATCACGCATTTCTCCATACAAATTCACATTTCCAGAATGACGCATTTCGACGCATTTACACAAAATCACGAAACAAATGCGTTCCAATTGCCGTACTATTTTATTGAACGCACTCAGAAACAAAAGTTCCACAAAAGCTTTGGTTTGTCTTTGACATTTGGAATTTTTCAAACACAAAACAAACACAACGAAATAAATAAATCTTTGAAATTTCTGTGTAAAAATTGTTAATTTATACAAGAGCTTTACACATTTTTAGTTTAATCAAAGAATAATTGCCTTTTTGTGTCCAAAAAGCGTTAACAATATAATAAATGTAGTGTTTGTTTACATACATTTTGTTTTTGTCTTCCCTTTTCATTTGATGAGAAGTCAAAGCAAATGCGGATCAAGCAGTGTAAACACCTTCAAATGACTGATTTCAAATCACGCATTTTGGTCCAATGTAAATGTAATATAAGTTCGGGCGGAGCCGAACATTAAATACCCGGCGCAAGTATTAAATATATGTTTTCCACCTTTCCGAAAGCT